ATTCTCATTCGACCCCCATTTTCCCAGATTCTTCTATACACTCCTCCCTTTCTTCCAGACCTCAGCAACTCCATACAGTCTCTTTCAATGGAAATTTACTCCTTTTCCTGTTTATTAATGTTATGTATTTCAGACTTATCTAAATTAGTAAATGTTTTTCAATAAGCCTTAGTTGCAGCATACTAGGTCTAAGTTGACCAAGAACATCAAAAACACTGGTCAGTTGGGAAACTGAAGCAGGAGAATCTTTGAGTTCAAAGCCAGCCTCAGCAATGGCGAGGTGCTAGGCAACTAGTGGAAACCCTGTCTCTAAATAAAATACAAAATAGGGCTGGGGATATGCCTCAGTGATTGAGTGTCCCTAAGTTCAATCCCCAGGACCAAAAAAAAGAGAAAAAAACTAGGTCAGGAGAAGTTACCCATACAGAAATAGGAGGTTCTGCAGAAAGAATAGGAATCCTGGAAGGTACATAACCAGATGGTGTATGTACAAAGGTGAAGTAAATGTTCATCATTTTAGCCAAGAGCACAGCTTCCTGAAATGTGTCCTTTAGACTCCTGGGATAGGGTCCACTTAAGATCCACTCACTCCGCTTCCAGAGCCAGAGACTTTGAGTCCATGTCCTAAGATCAGTAGTTTTCAAACTATATAGGCAAGCAGGGATGCCTTTGTAAGCAGTTAGGGGGCTGTCCAGGAGCTAAGGAGCCTAACAGAAACAATAGTGTAGGTGAACATTATGGTTCTCAGGCCTTCAACACATCTATCAGGGAATCCAACACTGGTTTAAGGCAGTCAAAAGGTACAGTCTGGAATCAAAGGACTGGTCACTACTGACATACATAATAGGCTGAATTTAACAAAAGGATTTTCAATAAACAAAACCAGTTATAGCTTTGTATTTATTTATTTATATCCAAAATGTGTTTATTGGGATGTTTTCCCACTCATCTTGATTTAGGCTGCTTTTACTGCTGTTTCCTCCTGAAGGAACATCTTTCTATAAGCCTTCCTTTTCCTTCCGAAGGCTGGCAGAGGACAGTGGAGCAGCCAACACACAAAACTACTGTTTGTGCATGGCTAAAAACTGTGGTGATTTTATAGCATCTTGGGCATTTCACATCCATGAAATAGGAGTTGGGGGCTCTGCATCAAGCGCTTCTTCTTGTGTTTCCGCTTCTCCTCTTCCAGAGAGGAATGAAGGAGATCCTTTGCGAGAGGCATGTTCTCATGGGGAGGTTGTCACCGCTGGAAAGGCTCTAGCTTTTTAAATATATTTTCTAACCAAATGACTTTTAAGTTCAAGACAGTGAATGATAATTTACGCATCTAGATTAAGTTTGTCACTTCTGATTTACTTTTAAAACTCTAAAACACAGGACACCTGGAACTAGCACAAACAATAATCTTTTGGCCTCAAAATAGCTTTGATTCCTACACACACACACACACACACACACACACACACACAGTTTACCAGCAAACTAAACCTTTTATATTCTAGATTAACCCTGGGTTAACTCTAAGAAAAAAAATTCAGTCTTCCTTTTTTTTTTTCAATTTTTGTATATTGAAGAAAATCAAACATTGCTGTACCCTTTTTAATCATACTAGAACAACTTTGTTCTGCCTACTCCAAAGTCATATCCCTAAGGCACCAATTACTATTAAAAATAGTTTTCAGCAAGAACTATGTTTTAGCAGCAGTTACACAAAGCTGACTGCTTCAAAACTGTTGGGATATCAGCCATCCTGTCAGCTGTTGTCTGAAGGCCAATGTCACTGGTCTTTCTGTAATGGTAAAAGAGGATTCACAAAAAGTGAAGCAATGATATCCAAACAAATTCAAAGAATTACCAAATCTGGTGGGTCATTCATTCATTCATTCATTCAATTCTTTACTGCTTAGCTGTCCTGTAAAAGGTGCTGTATCAGGTACTATCAGGAGCTAGACGGAATGAAATTAAGAGAACATTAATCTCTTCTGTCTTAGAGACAGGTGAAATAATCACGAATGATTATCCTGAAACTTGAAGATTCTAGGAAAACATAAGAGTCCTCAGCCCAAATATGTAACCTTTTTTCTTGCAGAGAAGAGGTCAAATTTGTTTTGTACAGGATCACATAGAATTAATATTATTGGGTAGCAACTGAAATCAGCAGAAGGAAATCATGGTGACAGTAAGAACTATCAGAGCAATCTAAAACACAATCAGCTGGTCTGGGAGAAAAAAAAGCCTGACTAGCAATATTTGTTCCAGGTACTCTCTACTGCAGTCACTCAAGAATCTGACAGTGCTTCAAAGCTCATCACCTATAATTTTATCACCCAAAGGCAATTGCTACTAACATACTCGTGTTTTCTTCACTTTTTTCTGTGCACTTTTATCATAGTAAAATCATACCACATATACAATTTTCTTTTTATCGAAAATTATTTCCCTATGCTATTTTGCACACTACCAATATTTACTAATGCTTTCCCTTATTGCTAGACATTTTGTAGTTTAGTAACGAGTTTTCAAGATACTACCTCCTAATGTGTGTGGGGTTTTTTTGGGGGGGCAGGGAGGGGGCACTCGGGATTTAATCCAGGGACACCTTACCTCTGAGCTGCATCCCCAGCATTTTTTCTTTCTTTTCTTTTCTTTTTTTTTTTTTAAGATAGTCGGCTCACTAAAGATTGGCCTTGAACTTGTGATCCTGCTGCTTTGGACTTCTGTTGCTGGGATTACAGGCATGTCCCACAGCACCCAGCTTCTCTATGAACCTGACAATGCAATCCTGGTAAAATTACTTATTTTTTCTGCCATAGTCACCTCATTTGTAATAGGAACTATATCTCACAATTTATTAAAAGAGCTGCTACAGCATAAATGCTTGAACCCCCTGCCCTTCCCAATTCATGTTGAAATCCTACATAAGGATGGATTTAGATGAGGCCTTTGGGATGTGATTAGCACCCACCCCTATAAAGTTAATGGCTTTATAAGCCCCCCCAAAACTCATTTGCATTCACCTATCATGTGAGGATATAGCAAGAAAGCACCATTTTCAGAAATATCCCTCTCCACAGAATCATCAGCTTGATCTTGGATTTCCCAGCCTCTATAGAGCTTTAATGCACATCTACTGCTGAAGCCACCTAGTGTCAAGTCCCAAACCTAAGAGTATATAGTCTATGCTCCCGCTCTGATAGTTATTTGGGCTTCTTTTAATAGCATCTATTGTATTTTGCCACCAACACTTATTAAACTTTTGTGATAAATATGAAAACAAAGCTCCAGTCCTCAAATAACTAATGTTTGGCTATAAAAGGTAGACAGTCCTTATAATACTGTGGGTGTTAAAAGCATGAGCATTATTGTCAGACAGACCAAAGTTCTAGTCCAGTTTTGTCTTTGGAAAACCTTGGGGAAATTACTAAATCTCTAAGCTCTAGTTTCCTCAGATATGTGACAAGGATGATATCTACTGAAAAATACTCTAGGAAATACATATAAAGCATAGTGTAAGATCTGGCACGACATATATTTTTTGATACTGGAGATTGAACTCAGGGGTACCACGGACCACTGAGCCACATCCCTAGGCCTATTTTGTATTTAGAGAAAAGGTCTCAGAGTTGATTAGTGCCTCACTGTTGCCGAGGCTGGCTTTGAACTCTGGATCTCCCTGCCTCAACCTCCCAACATGACAAATATTAAGAGAATCTTTATCAGGTATTATTCAACCCCTAGTAGAGAAGCCAGACCACCGATCCACATCAGCCTTCCCTCCTACTACAAACACATACACAAAAGGGCTAGAGTGGAAACTTTAGTTTCCCTCCCACTTGTTTCCTAAGGCACTGCATAACCCTGACATTTACTCAACTTAAGGCCTTCACACCAGTGTGAAGGAGAACAGATCTGAGACGACAAAACACATCTCACATCCTAAATCACCAGTAAATGTTGTGTCTCCCAAGTTGTCCTACATTTGTTCAGCTGACAGCTTCTCATCTACTCTCACAATACACCCAGCTCATTGCATTATTAGAAAACTTCCCTACACCCTCAATTGTGCCTTCTAACATCTTTTCGTAACTGCTCCAAGTTGATTCCTTGCTTGGCTTCCTCAGAGCCTTGCTAAATCCTCTTCATCCCACTTGTGAAGCCTCCAAGTGATCAAGGCAGATTTCTTTCATGTATATTTGCTCCCTAGACTTTTGAGGTTTAGGCCCTAAAATATAAGATACCATTGATACCCAAGGACAAAGTTTTACCTCCAACTCACTTTACTGTTCTTACAAGGTCCCATCTGGGAACTCTCTTCACAACAGGATCTATGCAGTGAATTTATGCCTAACAAGCTATTAGCCTAGCCCCGATGCAGGCAAGCCATCTGGGACCATATATAGGCTCCTGTTCAAGTATAGATTAAGTAGATAAGACTTTCCATTTCTAAAAAATCTGATCCCAGGTACCCACAATTACTTTTGCTAAGTCCAAAGACAACTTTCAGTAAGAGCCTACTTTCATTCCCAGAATCCTCACCTTCACAATCTCTACCCTTCATCTTTTAGTCCTCAGTAAATGCCTTTCAACATCATTACAACAGGCAACCTCACCCATTAAAATTCTCCAAGATTACTCCTTTCTTCAACCATGCATCTGCACACATTAACAAATTACTCACTGCTCCTTTCAACATTCAAATATATAACTTAACAAGCTTTCATCTATGAAATGACCTTAAAAATAGGACTAAAACCTGTGGCAAATGCAGGTTTTATGACCTTCGTTCCCAAAAATCACTTTTCAGTTTTTCCTTTCCAGCTCCCTGCAGTAAGTCAATTATTTGAGACTATTTGTCTCAATGAAACATGTTTTTCAAAAAATAAAAACAAACTTTTACCAAGTTCAGTATGCTTTCACAACTCATGAAAAATAATACACCTTAAAAATTTTTGGAAGAGATTTCTACACCCAATTAACAATACTAATCACATTAAAACACATTTTTGGAAGTTTTTTAGAACTTTTATTTTATGTACAAAGAGTGAGCATGTTCTCCTTCACTGGATGGCTGTCTTGGGTAATCCATTCAAGGAAGATCACTTAGTCCAACTGAAAAGAAAGCACACAGAAAATTATTTTAAAATGCTTTAAATCTTAACCTGATACAAAAAAAAATGGCTCATCACAGAATACTCAACTGGAAATACAGCCTACCTGAATGAATTACCAAGATCTACCTTGTTTAGTCTAAGCAATCACTTTACCAAATATTTACAAGCTATTCCATACACTTTGCCTCTATTTTAAGACTGTGGTTTTTAGTACTAGTATTCTCATTCCTTCCCTCAAAGAAATATTTTCCAACACAAAACACTACCAAAAAAAAAAAAAGTGATCCGAACGATTATTACTGTAAATATACAGCTCATTTTGGTGATAAACTTGGTCACAGAGCAAGTAGGTGAGCTAGTTCATTCTCTCACTCATTACGCTTTTTTTTTTTTTTTACAGTATGGAACCCAGTGCCTTGAGCATGCTGGGTAAGTTTCAACACAGGGCTACATCCCCAACCCCCCCTTCATTTTCACTGGTGACATACGTGGTCCTACTGAGTTATTTGAACTTCTACACTGTAACACTAAGCATAGAGTGATAACCTATTTGGTCAACACTGTAAGTCTTGAGTTTAGAAATAACTTTTTTTCTCTGCTGCACCACAGATCTCACACTAACAACTTATATCCGCTAAACATACTAACACAGAATCTATGTTTAACTTGATCAAGGCCATACAACTATTAGATGAGAGACCTTCAGTAGTTGCTTGCTCACTCTTACAAAGTCTGTCTGGCATCCAACCTTACGGGTCAGTCAGTCCAGCGTAGAATGATATAAAACATTGGGGGGGATTAACACACATATTCGATTAAAAAACGTCTGGGTACTTTATATGGCCGATAAGCACCAAACTCCACCAGGAACCCTCCTACCTAAAGCAGGAACAGAGCCTAGGGCTCATCTCACTAAGGAACTACCACCACATTCTCGGCTCAGAAACATGGAGTCGGCGTCCGGGGACGCGTACCTTAATGAAGCCTATATCCTTCGCGTACTGACGGAAACACTGCCGGCACATGTTGAGGCCGTATTTCCGGATCAGGCCGTGCCGGTTTGAACACACGCGGCTATAAAAGAAAAAAGAGCATTTTTTGTAGGTCAAAAAAAAGTTACGATTCCGCACTCTGAGGGCCACCACCCGCCCCGCCACCAGCGCGGCCGCATCGCCAGCACATAATGGCGTCGGCAGAAACTCGGAGTCGGTCTACCCCAAGCGCTGCTCGCGGATTCCTCTACCTGGGGTTTATCAGCAGCCTGCTGATCCAAAGCAACCCGTCCCTCAAACCACAACCTATTTCTTACCAAGAGCGAGAACCCTGGCCAAATTTTCGCGGGTGGCTCCAATAGAGCTGTTGGTGACCCATCTTGCTTTCAAGGGTGCGACGAGGCAAAAGGAGCGAGCTCAGCTACGCATGCGCTCTTCAGGGTTTTTTTTTTTTTTTTGCAGGACACAGCTTACCCAGAATGCATTGTTGAAAGTGACGCGTGCGCAGTGTGGCAATGCTGTTTGGCCGAAAGTTTCTCTTAAAACATTCTCGGCGGGCGCGGTTGATGACGTCACCACCGCTCAAACTCTATAATCTCCTTTTGAGCCGCCTCTGATCGCCGGGCGCGGTGGCGCGTGCCTGTAGTCCCAGCTACTCGGGAGGCTGAGGCAGGAGGATCGCTTGAGCCCAGGAGTTCTGGGCTGTAGTGCGCTATGCCGATCGGGTGTCCGCACTAAGTTCGGCATCAATATGGTGGCCTCCCGGGAGCGGGGGGCCACCAGGTTGCCTAAGGAGGGGTGAACCGGCCCAGGTCGGAAACGGAGCAGGTCAAAACTCCCGTGCTGATCAGTAGTGGGATCGCGCCTGTGAATAGCCACTGCACTCCAGCCTGGGCAACATAGCGAGACCCCGTCTCTTTTAAATTTTCCCTAAGAAACTAGTTATGTTACAGTGTCTTTATTGACTTTATTGATTGAAACTTTTCCATTTCTTTTATTACCATTTTCCATTTAAAATAAAAATTTTTACCTCGACTCAGCACTGACACCTACTGGCGTGAAATTTTAAAACAGCTTAAAGTCGACTAACTAGGATTCAAAGATAGGAGCTTCTTTCAGTTCTAAACTGAATACATTTTTAGTTATTTTGATGGTAGTTATTGAATTTTGGGTTGGTGTTTGGTTTGGGGTTTTTTTTTTTTGGTGGGGGAGGAGGCGTTGACACCTTTCTCCAAGAAATACACCCACACCATTCCAGAAAAAATTATTCAAGTTTATGGCCCATAATGTATCTGATCTCTAAATGCACTTGACTGAATTTAAAGTGAAAGGTTAAATGCAGCATATGTTGCTTTTACAAGGTAATTTTGTAATAAAACAGTAGTGAAAACCAAATTTTAAAATATAAGGACAAATCTGACAAAAAAAAGTCTTAGGTTCCACATGATCATTTATAATGTCTCTAAATAAACCTAAAACTCTACATGGCTCTGAAATAAAAACCTTAACTAGATCTAAAACATGCAGCAGGGGTGCAACAATTCAAAATATCTTTTAACCAAAGAACTATTTTATTTGAACTTAAACAAAATTTTAAAGTACATTATTTTAAGATTTTGGTAGTCAAACCCTACCCAATTATTACATTAAGCAATGTTATATAATGAAAGAAAGAGAGGTGTCAGAATTAAAAACAAGATATGGCATGATTTCTGTGAAAAGTTAGTGTTGAAAACAATTTTCCTCGAAGAGCCCTTCTTCCAATTTCAATTTTTGTGCCTCAATGTCAGATATACAGTTACACAAGTAGAATAAATCTGCATTCAAGACATCTCCAGTAAGACTTTGATTGCTCACCCTCCAGACTTGCATACCCTCATTCACCAAGCACCGACCTCTCAGGAGAAGGTACAGGCACAGAGTGAGAAAAGAAGGATTCAGAGAGACACCAGGACCCTGGTGTCTTACTTTGGCTTTGTCTACACAGCACTGGTTGCCGCTAGTGGGATCCCTGAGTATGACGAAAGCAGGTAGCATACTATCCATGGCCACTAAGGTCCTGGTGGAGGGTTTAGTAGGCCTGGGTGTTTATCAGCTGTCTAAGGATCCAAGGAACTTCCTCTTTGAAGACCTTGGTCTTTGTCCATAGATCTACAACCTTGGGTGGCATTATGGGAATTACCACTCTGGAAAATTTATGCCTATCAGTTTAATTACAAATGCCAGTTTGCTGATGGTCACCAACTTGGAAGCAATATGTTGAATAATTACTATCACTAAGTAGTCATGTCACCAATAATTACTATCACTAAGTAATCATGTCATTTGGATTCATGAAGAATTAAAAACTTCCAAATTTCCATATTTTCAGTATATTAAGGGAAAGAAGTGCAGCATTTTTATATAGTCTGACATTATCTAAAAAGCAAACCAAAACAAAAATGACATTGAACTTGATAGAGAAAAAACTAGTCATTACCATTATAACTCTATACAGATAACAAGAATGTGACACAAGAGCTAAATGATACCTTCCAACACTTCAATGCTTATATAATGATGTTCTCTTCTTTCTGTCTGTAAGATATCAAGGAAGAAAGTGTTAGATGTTAACACTGAGAACCTGAAACCCCATGCCTGCTCAGAACAGTGTGAAAGAAATCTCTTGATAAAAGTTGGGGTATACATTCTTTTGCTCATCTTAGAGCATATACCTACTTTGAAATTATGTTAAATGAAATATCAATGAAAATTAAATTTCAGGCTGGTACAGTGGCACAGACTTGTAATCCTAGTGACTCAGGAGGCTGAAGCAGGAGAATCCTAAGTCTGAGTGCAACCTCAGTAACTTAAATAGGCCCTACGTAATTAGCAAGACCCTGCCTCAAAATAAAAAGGGCTGGGGATGTGGCTCAGTGGTAAAGTAAAAGCACACCTGATTTAAATTCAACAAAAAAAAAAGGAAAAGAAAGAAAAAGTCTTATGTTTAATAGTATTTCTGTATCTATATCCATTTCAGCAAATGTTAATATTTTAATCAACTATTTATTTTAAGTAAAACATACATACATTAGATATATTTTTAACCCTGGGCCTCTATTTCTACCTTCAAACTAAGAAACCATGTGTTTTAAATATTCCACTGAATGACTGGGGGTGTGCCTCAGTGGTAGAGTGTTACCTAGCATGTATAAGACCCCAGGTGTGTGTGTGTGTGTGTGTGTGTGTGTGTTACTTGTAATTACATGCATATATTGTATTTCTTTTCATTTACATGGTATATCTAATGCTTCTCACAAACAAATAGACAAAGCATCAGAAAGACATAAAAATTATGGAGAAATATAAGTAAAATGAAGGAATGAAGGTGAATTCAAACCTCCTTGGGTGAACATTTCTTTGCATACTCTAACTTAGGTCCATATACACAAAGAAAGATATATACATACAGATACATATATAACAAAGTGTGTCTATAAATAAGACTTACAAAGAATGTATGTAAAATCATGTCTTATAAAGTAACTATCTAGATATCTAGATATAAATATATAGAAAAAACTATGTCTATACGTAAAAATTCTGGAAGTGATGCCAAAGAACACAGGCATGCATATATATATGCAGCTTGCCCCATAGAAATTATAATAAATCAAACTCCTACCTATACACTGCCTGTTTTCCTGTAGTCTCCCAGTAGTGTGAACTAACAAACTTCTCATATTTGTCTTTCTCATAGCCTAGAAATGTGAAGCACTATTTCAATTTGATTTTTGATAAGGCAGAAAATGTTTTCCTATGTTTATAAGCCAGCCTTATATCTTTATCTGGGAACTTCTTTGAGTCCAAAGCCCACTCTCTTAATAGCTTGCTAATTCTGTAGTTTATATGCAAGAAAAGAAAAAAAACTTTGACCTTCATATTTGTTTCAAAGCTATTTTGTTCACCACTATCCTAGATTCTTATTTCTTTATGTATAAATAAAAATATATGTGTGTACATATACATATATGCGTGTACATACACACACATGCACATAATTTATTAGGGTTCTCCAGAGGGACAAAAACAGGAGGATATATAGAAATTATATAGATGGGTTTATGAGAGGGAATTTATTAGGAGAATTGGTTCACATAATTATGGAGGCTAAGAAACTTGTGACTTATGCCTATTTAAGTTGGAGACTTAAATAGGCCCTACGCAATTATCAAGATTCTGGTAACATATCAGTCAAGTCCAAAGACCTCAGAACCAGGGAAGCTAATGGTGCAACTCTCAGTCTGAGGAAGAAGGCCTGAGAACCCAAGGAGTCACTGATGTAAGTCCTGAAGTCCAACTGCTGGAAATCCTGGAGTTCAGATGTCCATGGGAAGAAGAAAAAAGTGTTCCAGCCCCAGGAGGGAAAAAAAGAAAATCTCTTCCTCTCCTTTTTTGTTCTGTTCAGGCTCCCAGCTAATTAGATGATGCCTACCATTATTAAGACCAGATCTTCCCCACTCAGCCCAACAACTCACATGCCAATCTCTTTCAGAAATACCTTCACAGAAATGTCCAGAAATAATGCCTTAACAGTGCTCTAGTTAGTCCTTAATCCAGTCAAACTGACATCTAAAACTAAACATCACAAGTTCACCCTTTGTTGACCTGACACTCACATGCATCTCCTAAAACCATACTTAGTCTCAAATAAGGAAAATACCAAGATAGTAGCTCTACCTAACATAATTATCCTTAATACAACTTAAAATGCATTAATCCCCTTTCCAGAAGAGGAAGTAAAGTCCTTGAGTTATGTTAATCTTCTCCGAGGATCCCATAACTTAAATACTATGATATAAATTAACAATACTTAAATACTGGTATAAAGTCAGTATAACTTATGATACATGGTAAAGTGATGAGAGGAATAAAAACAAAGATATTTGCTTAATATATGTATATATACAGACAAAGGAGTTCTTAATAATTATAGTACTTTGTTCTGTAATGAGTCACATGATCGTAACTAGTATTTTTGTCTATCACCCATTCTGTAGTCCCTTTGCCTTCATCAGTGGGTCATGGTTCTTTAACTTGGAGGATGATCCAAAACTTTATTTCTGAAGGGTCTGGGTTATCCTGCCTAGATCAGGTTGTTATAATTTCCCATCACTGGACAGGTTCTGAGGAGTTCCCTCCAAAGGAGAAAGAGACCTCAACTTAGCCCAGGCAGGTTTTTGATGCATGCTGAAATTCTTTGGAAAAGAATTTCAGCATGCAACAGAAGGTGAGGCACAAGCAAATATTTATTTCAGGACAGAAAGGAGTGAACCTCAAAGAAAAGGTATGGGCAACACTTGCCTCTCAGAAGAAAAGACAAGTGATAAACTTAGGGTTGAGATTTCTGATAATATATGTGATTTTGTGTGTGTGTGTGTTACTGGGGGATGAACCCAGGACCTTGTGCATGCAAGGCAAGCACTTTACCAACTGAGCTATATCCCCAGCCCTGTACGTGATTTTCCAGGGAAGAAATGTATAGGTTCTCAAGCTCTTCAGGTCACTCAGTAGATAAACCAGAATAACACAGTCAAATGAAGAATGTGTCGCCTTAAAATCCTAGTAGGTTTCTGGGTTTTGTTTTGTTTTGTTTTTGTTTTGTTTGTGTGTATGTATTCGTGTGTGTGTGTGTGTGTGTGTGTGTGTGTGTGTGTGTGGTGCTAGGTCTTTGAGCATGTGAGGCAAGCACTCTACCAACTGAGCTATATCCTCAGCCCCTAGTAGGTATTTCCTGATTATAGAAGGATCTATATGCAATAATATATGTTTTATTTTAGAAAGAATATCTCAATCTACCCCATACCACTGGACGTCTAGAAATTTCAGTGATATAAAAGACTTTTGAATTTTAGTTGCATTTCTTTCCTACTCTTTGAGACAAAAATGTCTTGCCCAGTAAGTCCAGAGTATTTTACTCCTTCACATTCACTAAGTCTAATCAATATAATGTCACCAATGCAATGGACCAGTGTGATATCTTACTGAAGAGAAAAGTGATCAAGATCCCTGTGAACTAAATTCTGACAAGACTGGAGAGTTAACCTACTCTGAGGGAGGACGGTAAAGATGTATTGCTGGACTTTCTAGATGAAAACAAGTGCTTCTAATGGGCTTTATGGGCAGATATGGAGAAAAAAGAATTCACCAGATCAATAGCTGCATACCAAGTTTTTTGTTGTAATTTACTTACAAGCATAAGAAGTATCATTTGTTCAAACAATGAAATCACATCTGCTTTTGGAGTCTCGACCTGCCTTTGAAAGCAGCTGCCTTTGGAGTTACCACCTGATTAAACCACTTTCAGTCTCCATGAATCACCACCTCTGTATTTTTCAAGTCCTTGATTGCACTAGTTTCTGCAGTCCCTCCAGGGATGCAGTGTGTTTTTAATTTACTATTTTCCCAGGTAGAAGCATCTCTAATGCCTCCTGTTTGGCTTTTCTCACCTGTAGGAATCCAGTTTGACAAGAGGACAGTGATCTTAATCATAATTTTGCCCAAGTAACCCAGACATCCTCCCCAAATTCTATAGGACAACAAAGTTGTTAGGATGATCAGTCAAGGGACTGGGGCGATAGCTCTGTGGTTGAGTGCTTGCCTCACATGTGGAGGGCACTGGGTTTGATCCTCAGCACTACATTAAAAAATAAGTAAATAAAGGTATTGTCCATCTACAACTAAAAAAAATGTTTTTATAAAAAGATGGTCAGTCAAGCATGGTGTGCCACTAATGTCAGGCTACAAATCTGAATTTTATCATCCATTGTAAAATATTCAATAGTACTCCAAAACTTTCAAGCTATTCAAGTTTTCCTCATCTGGCTACTTTTATACTCCTCTAAGACCTCACTTAAAATATGTTCCATTATAGTTTGATTGTTGGCTTATTTGTCTTTCCATACATACTATAAATTCATTTTTACCTCCTAAACATCTAGTATAGGGGCTGATATAAGCAAGAACACATAAATATTAAATGTTTGAATAAATATATTGAAGAAATAAGATCAGATAAGCCAGGTATGGCTGCACATGCCTATAATCCCAGTGACTTGGGAAACTGAGGCAGGAGGATCTCGAGTTCAAAGTCAGCCTCAGTAACTGAGCAAGGCCCTAAGCAATTCAGTGAGACCCTATCTCTAATAAAATATAAAAAAGGGCTGGAGATGTGGCTTGGTGGTTAAATACCCCCAAGTTCAATTCCTGATACAGAAAAAAAAAAGGTAAGTTTAGCAATAGTTCTTCAGAGAATACAGCTCTGAATTGAAGGGCTCTGAAAATGGAAATGTATTCATTAGGAAATTATTACAGAAATACAACCTACAAGATATGATCAAAGAGTATCATCAGAGCAAGGGAACACTAGAGGTTTAATGTTCAGGTGTCTATTTGTTAACAAGTCTGCATACAGAGCTGAGTAGACTCTGACTTTAAGGTTGAGGCAATAAAAGAGACAGACACAAGATGAAGACATCCCATTCCAGTTACCCATCTGACATCTGCAGGCCCAAGAGTCAGTGTTATTAGCAAAACTGGCCAACCATTCTAATTATAAGCCACATATCAGAGGTGTTATTTACAGCAAAGTTAATAGTGAGGATCCAGCTGTGTGACTTCCAAAATTAGTTATTTTAAATTCAACTAAGCACGAATGAAGCTAGTTGTTTATTTGGGTTTTCCGCCAGTAACAAGGGAGGGAATGAATGTGGTATTCAGGCCAGAAAGAACAACTAATTTTACAGAAGGAAAACAAATCTATAAGTTATTTTATTCCTTTTGCAAAAATAAAAATAAAACTTTAAAAATAAAACTTGAAGTCTAATTTTAACTCTGCATTTCCATTTCAGACAGCCTACAATGGAATCTAGCTTGAGCTAATTGAGGTTAGAAAAGATCAAAGGGCAGTTTTCATAAGTATGATGGTAAAGAGAAAAAAGTGTGAATAGGTGTTCATAGTGAAGCCAGAATTAGACAGGCAGTCAGTGTAGATAGTAAATCAAGTCAGGTCTCATCAAGGAGGCCAATTTTGAGTGAGTCTGGGAAGTTAGAGACTGATCCTGAGGGATCTTATCAAGAACCTGCCCCTGCTCCAACCAGTAGCCAAGGTAACCTGTCCCAGGAATTCCTCCTCCCTACAGGGAGCTATAAGGTTGTTCATGTGTCCCTAGGCTACTCCACCCTGCCTTTACCCCTTCAGCCCACCTGTTTCCCACCTTTTGGCCCTCCCACCAGCATTCCAGGGCTTAGTCTTGTAAGGGGGAAAAGGCAGGAGAACAAAGGAAGCCTAGGACATATAAGAAGGGCAGAACACCTCGCTTCTCAGGACACCAGCTATGGTCCCCTTCTCCCTCTTGGGACAAGTCCATGTTATCCCTTTTTAAATAAACCCTGCTTTATATGCTTGCCTCAGGGTGCTTCTCTAATGCTCAAACTTCAACATATGGGGAAGCAAGACTCATCACCGATAACCCGCAGTATCAATAGGATCCTCTGCTTCACCAATAGCCCACTAAGGAAAAAAAAAAACTTTGGGGATACTCTAGAATGTCAGATCCAAGTATTTCAACTATTAAAAACTAAGTGGACTAAGGGAAAGATGTAGAAAAGAAGAATGAGGTCTCAAAAACTGATGTTTACTTTATTTCCAAATATTATCTTATTTAAATTTACTTAATAAAATAATCTTATTTTTTAAAATTTTGCAATCCCACATTTCTTTTGAAAATCTGACAAGAAGATAATTGGTAGCTCTATGCCACTGTTCCTTTCTAACATCACCATTGAACTGTTATGTGATTTGCATATATTTAAACTATTTAATATTTATTTACTGAATTCATGCTTTAGGAACATAAGTGACACCAAATAAAACATTGAGGCTTTTTAAAAAAAATTCTTTATTTTTGTTAAACTATGATGCAAAGACTGGCCAGGGCTGTCTTTCCCAAAACCGGTGGGAATTTAAGACCCCATAGCATCTTTCTAGGAGCACAGCTTTATAGCACAGAAAGTTGCAAAAAGGGAGGGTGTCTTGAGAACTTACAGATAACAGAATTTTGACATGCATAACACAAAGGCAGGTGGTAGGTTAATGGTCCAGCACTTAGGGAGTAAATCAGATCCCAACATCAGAATTAATGAGGCTCCACTAGAGTTTCAGAGAGGGTTGTTATCTGGTCAGGGAAAGCCAGGCATGGGTGAGTTCAAGGCACAGGCAGGCATTCCAAGCAAGTTTAGAAATCGCAGTAATTTATAGTAAAGCCAAAATTAACTTTCCATGCCTTTGTGATGGGATGGCTCCCAATCTTAAGAGGGAATTAGGCTGGGTCTATCAATTTTTATGCATTTCTAATCTATTTAATTAAAATTACTATGGCTTTTACAAGTTTTAAGATGTTCCTGGCTCCCAACTGCACCTACAGGTTCAGAGTATATTTAATGTAATATTCCCTTAAGGCTGGTGTTTTATTATTTTCTTTTGTTATTATCCATTCAAAGAACAAAAATAAGACAACTCCCACAAAAGCTGTCTGAAAATTCTATGGTATCATTTTAGTTTTCTCCGTTGTTATATGAGATTAATGTTGCTAAACAATGAATAGTTTCAATGCTCTACTAGGTGTACATGTACTAAATGGAGGGTGGTGGTAATTTATTGCCTTAATCATTATTTTCCCTGAACCAAGTACTATTTTCAGAATGCAGAATCCACAGGTAACACTTTAGGCTCAATTATTGTATGTAAACAGAAACGCTCATTTAAGGACGAATCATGAAATCGTCACAGTTTAACTGAAAAACTGATATTTAAGAACGCGAATTCACAATTACCAAACTACAACTTACACAAAAATAGAATGTTTAATACCAGGCCAGAAGTGAGAGAAGGGAAGGGAGGCTCCCGGAGCGCAAACCTTAAGGTAGCCAGACTATGACCCCAGACTATGGCCTCTTAAAGTCTGTGGCCCACGCGCCTTCCATATCTCAGTCCGAGCCCTTCCAGGGGCTCAATAAAGGAATAAGGAGTGGGAAGGAAACCTGGGGTCTGGACGATCTTTCCTAGTCAAGTCAATCACTGCATTCAACCCACCCTCCGTGGCAAAGCAAGATTTGTTTAACAGGAATTGCCAAGTCAAATACTGTCATTTAAAGCTTCGCTGTGAATTGACAGGTGTCGGAGTCTAACTAAGGTGGGCCACCAAAACGCCAGCCCGTCCTCCCCAGGAAATGCCGCGTCCTCGCTGGCTTCTGGGGCAGCTCGTAAATTCCCCATAAACAGAGGGATGCCTGCCTAGCTTTGGGAAACTCAGCGGTCAACGGTAGAGACAGTAGGAATCGGTACCAAACAATAATAGGCTCGGCAGCCAACTGCACGGCTCGTGAGAGAGGACGTTGCGCCCTCGCCTGCCGCCGGTTTCGAAAGGCGCGAGCCAGGTCCTGAGAAGGCCGATGACGGCGCTCCCCTGACCGGCGACCACAGGAAGGGCTCTGCTAGACAAAGAGAGTGGACGCGGCTAGCTCTGGACGCTTAAACCCGGTGCTGTCGGCTCGTCCAACGACAGGCGGATCCGCGGGCAGCCTTCCTGCTCTAGGACCCCGGCGGGCGCGGCGTGGCGGGAAGGAAGAAGTTTTAAAGCGGAGTGACTTGATTGATGCCGCAGCCAGGGCGAGATGAAGCTGCACTGCGAGGTGGAGGTGATCAGCCGGCACTTGCCGGCCTTGGGGCTCAGGAACCGAGGCAAGGGTGTCCGAGCCATACTGAGCCTTTGTCAGCAGACGCCCGGGAGTCAGCTGCGGCCCCGCGCGAGGGGCGAGCCGGGCAGCCTGCGCCCCGCCTGCCTGCTTATCTCTACCATGAAGGACAAGCGCGGGACCCGCTATGAGGTGAGTGCAGATGGAGCGGGCAGGCTTGCCAGGGGAGTCAGGCGCGCGCTGAGTCTCAGATCAACCGCTGCACCGGCGGTTCCGGAACCCGCGTCCGCTTTGGGGAGTTCGGCCCGGCCCCATTGTCCCACCACCACCTCGGGCCTACAGTCTTGTGGGGCTACTTACCCGCCCGAAAACTTCTGAGAATGCACCTTTTCGTTGTTTTTCTTGCCCATTTCTGTGGCTGAATTTACGTCGTCGTTATTCAGTAGTAGAAAGCAACCCCGCCCTTTTAAATCCTCTAAAATGTGACTGCGTGAAACAACTGCAAGTGAAGCAGCTAATTTGAGGGAACAGTGAAGTAACTGCACTTTTATATGGTAAATTCTGCTTTTCCCAACTTCTTTTTAAACAGCCGCCTTTAAGAGATAATGAATAGCATCCAAAGTCAGTAGGCCCAATTAGTACAATAGTAAAACTGTACAGTAGTGCTTTGGGTTGCATTTTCATGTTTTTATGTAAGTTATTGGTTATAGTGTCCCTGCTCCCTCTTTTTTAATGTTTGACCTGATTTCTTAGGCCCAGATCTTTTCTGTAGAGCTGTGACAAACTCTAGAAGCTGTTAGAAGTTGAAGTTTCAAAACTTTCAAATATAGATTTCTTTATAAAAATTCCGTTTTCTTCTATTACCAGGCACTATGTTATTTTGTGAAAACAGAATATCTTCATAGCTATTACAAATAAAACCAAGCAAACAATTCATCATCCACCTTGCTTCTAACTTTGGGTATTATACAATTTCTAGGATTATTTTTCCTTACATATTATATTCCACAGTGAATACTTAGTTGAGGAAAAATAGTGTTACTATCATAACCACCTAATGTTTGCTGTAAGTAGCTGAAAGTCTAAATTTTAATGGAATCACTTCATGCAATTTTTTTTTTGAAAATTGAAAGAATTTAGAAATTACTCAACATGTTATAGTTCAGAGAACCATTAAATATAAGAAGGAAACTTGTAACTAGAATTGGGCCTCTCTTTTCTCCACAATTATGTTCCCCAGAACTGACCTTTTTCATGCCCAGTGTAGGTATTGTCTCTTTAAAAAACTCATAATGTACTTTTTTTAAAGTTGTCAATAGACTTTTATTTAATTTATTTGTTTGTATGTGGTGCTGAGAATTGAATCCAATGCCCCATTCGTGCCAAACACTCTACCACTGAGCCACAATCCTAGCCCCTGTATTCTCCCTTCTTAAATTTTTGCTGCATTAATAGACAAACTGGTCAGAATCCTAACCAAATTTTGTTGTAAATCTTTAGTTGAAGACTTATTGTGTGCAGGGTGCAATGCTAGAAACTGTGAGATAAGAAACTTGACTTAATCATAGGAGCCACTACTTATAATACAAGATAGGCTATAATAAGTGCTATTACTAGACTATTAAAAAAGAGAGAGATGAATTCTGATTACAGGAGCTTGAGAAGGTTTGGCAGATATGGTACAACAGTACTCAGAGCCTAGTAGGTCTTCAATAAACATTGGCTGGATGAATTAAGGTAATGCCAGACCGGGGCCATGAAGAATAGACATTAGTACTAACTGTGGGAAATACCTTGGGATATTTTACTTTCCTGCGTTGTGACAGGCTACCATCCATCTGACTAAACCTGTGTCTTGGCTAGTTCTTTCCTTAACTGTGGGTTCAAATCTACTACCTACTGGAGATCTTACTTGAATATGTTTCAAATTTTCAATTCAAAATATCTAGAAATTAATTTTTCTTGTCACCCCAAACCTGCCTTTGTCAGTGTTCTACAACTCATTAAATAGCACTACCATCCAGAAATCTTAAAGTTTTTGCCTCCCTATATCCATTATATCATTGAATCCTTTGAATTCTACTTCCTAAGCATTTTTCATCCCAGCTCTGAACTATCACTTTCCTGGCTAGTCTCTTAAAAGGCTCTCCTTCCTTCTTCCATTGTCCCTCCTCTGTCCCATTCTCTTGTTCCTCATAGTTCAGGCTTTACCCTGCAGTTAAGGGAATTTTTAAAAATAAGAGATTTGATCATGTTTCTTATTTTAAAAGCCTTCAGTAGGCTGGGCATGGTGGTGCACACCTGTAATTCCAGCAGCTGGGGAAGCTAAGGCAGGAAGATCACCAGTTCAAAGCCAGCCTCAGCAATTTAGCAAGACCCTGACTCTAAATAAAATACAAAAAAAGTCTGGAGATGTGGCTCAGCGGTTAAGCACTTCTGAGTTCAATCCTGTATACTCCCCTGCATCCCCGCCTGCCAAAAGAAGAAGAAGAAAAAAAAACTACAGTGGATTTCATTGTTCTTATGGTAAAGTCTAAAATTCTTAATATACATTACAAAGTCTTTCATTGTCTGATTTCTTCTTATCCTTCCATACTCTTCTGCCTTTTCTCCAGGCCTCTCCACCATCTTGAATTACCTTCTTTGAGTTCCTCATAGTTGTCAAGCTTTCCTTTTCCTCAGGCTTTACCTTTTTCCTCCTAGGAATGCTGTTCCATCCATTTTCCTTGCATCTGTTGCTCAACATCACCCAAATACTTCTAATCTCACCTTTAACGTCACCTTCCTATAGACTATGTAAGATTTCCTTGCCAAGATTATAGCAGCCTACACGATATATTTGTCATGCTTATAATTACTTTTAAAAACTGTCATATCATACTGTCAACTCTAAGTGTAGTTGCCATGTCAGTCTTATTCACTACTATGTCTCAGCCTGTAACATAGTATGAGGTACATAGTGGCTTCTCAATAAATAGTTGTTGAAGTCTAAAGCAAATGTGACATCAGTCGTGAAAATTTGTTGAGTACTCATTATGTGTCAGTTACTGTTCTAGCTCTGGGAATACAGAAATAAAAAAGACTCAATTTCACCTGTCATGGAATTCTTTTATAACCTAGTGGGAGGCAACTGTAAAACACCCAGACTTAAGGACTAAAAGCCCAATCAAAGCATGGTAAAGTAACTGGTACATTCTACTTGTAGTAAGAATTATTGAATAACAATACTATTTTTGTCCTTTTTCCCCCATTGATTTTAAGCAGCTAAAGGAAAACATTGAGCAGTTCTTCACCAAATTTGCAGATGAAGGAAAAGCTACTATCCGGTTAAAGGAGCCTCCTGTTGATATCTGTCTAAGTAAGGTATGGTATTGAAAACAGGTTAGGTTGCTTGACTCTGTTTTCTTTAAAGAAGAAAGCTATTCCAGCATTCTGATATCTCACTTAGCTAAGTAAGGGAGGATTCTTGCAGGTGTGTTGAAGAGGCAGCTTCCCAGATATGCTTGTGTGTATTTTTTGCCTTAGGAGAGAGCAGAGGCTGCCTTAGGGAGGCTCCAAAGACAAGGAGGAAAAGTAGGTTTGCTTCTGTGCCCAGTATAGATAATGTTCTTAAATTGGAACTGTAATGGCAAGTAGCACAGGTCTGCATTTTTGCCACCTAAACCTCATGTTACAAATTTCATTTTAAGCTGAGTACTGTGGCACATGCCTATAATCCCAGTGGCTCATGACTTGGGAGCTGAGACAGGAAGATTGCAAGTTTGAGGCCATCACAACCCTGTCTGAAAAATTAAAAAATAAAAATTTAAAAGGGATGAGGGTGTAGCTCAGTGGAAGCATGCCCCTGGGTTCAATCCCCAGTACCACCAAACAAATTTGATTTTAAAAGGGGGGTAAAATGCAATCAGAACCATCTCTTTTGTGTTTTATTTACTATAATCATTTTTAAAGTAACTAAACCATTAAAAATCTTATAAAACCTATTTTCTTTGCCATCTCTCACCCCTTCTTTCTCCTTCCCAGAGAGTAAGAACAATATCTTACTCAACCTTTTTTTTTTTTTTCCCCCACAGAGCTAGAGATCAAACCCAGGGCCCTCTGCAAACTAAACACTCTGCCACTGAGCTACATTCCTAGCCTGATTGATGAATGGATAGATTGATGCATAGATTGATTGATTCTGTAGATTGAACCCAGAGACGCTTTACCCTGAACTTTAGCCCCAGCCCTTTTTGTTTTTTGAGACAAGGTCTTGCCAAGTTGCTTAGGCTTCTCAAACTTATGATCCTCCTGCCTCAGTCTTCCAATTAGCTGGGATTACAGATGTACACCCCCATGCCTGGCTCCTGCTCAAAATTCTTCAGCAATTTCCCACAGCTTGATCATTCCCTCCTTGTCTTGATATCCAAGCTCATTCACAATGTATCCTAATATTGTATTATATTTCCAATATTCTACACAACTCCCACATTCCCACAAAATAGGAATACATAGTTTTTCAAAGTTCACTTGTCCCTCACTTATAAATTTTAGGAAACTTCTAAAATATCCTATCCTATAAGTATTAGCTATTTTTATTGATGATTGAATTCAAATGCCACTTTATAAGTGATTTCTCATTCTCTCCAGCTGGATCTCTACCTTTTGTATTTTCTAGCACTTTGTTGCCTTTTTTTTTTTTTTTGATACCTGGGCTTGAACCAGGGGCACTTAACTCTTAGCCACATCCCCAGCCTTGTTTTTGTATTTTATTTAGAGACAGGCTTTCGCTAAGTTGCTTAAGGCATCGCTAAATGGTTGAACTAAATTTGAACTTGTGATCCTCCTGCCTCAGCCTCTGGAACCTCTGGGATTATAGGTATGCACCACTGTGCCCAGCTACTTTGTTGTTTTTGAGAAGAGCCATCACTTTGTTCATCTCCTAGTATTTGTGAATGGCATCCTGAGCATTTTGCATTACATACATAAATAAGCATGGCCTATCTCATTTTTATACTCTTAACAATTTTCCCTTTGAATAGTTTTATTTAGACTGTTTATGTTAAATATAATTCTCAAATTTTTTCAGAAACTTTTAAAATTGAAATTTAGACCAAATAAAATACTAAAAAAAAATATTTTATACAGCCAATTTCAATAAAATAATTTGTGACTTTCATATATAAATGCAGGATTTGTTATGGGAAGAACTAGCATATGTTTTATCTAAAAATGAATTTATGATATTATAACTTTTTATTTATTCAGGCCAATTCTGGCAGTTTGAAGAGTTTCCTTTCAGCTGTGAGACTGGTTCATAAAGGCTGTGATATCAACGCATCACTTTCCACACTCACACCAGTGAAAACATCAGAATTTGAAAAATTTAAAACAAAAATGGTTATCACTTCCAAAAAGGACTATCCTCTAAGCAAGAACTTTCCATATTCTCTGGAACACCTTCAGGTTTCTTATTGTGGGCTTGTTCGAGTTGACATGCGTATGCTTTGTTTAAAAAACCTTAGGAAGTTGGACTTGAGTCACAACCACATAAAAAAGCTTCCAGCGACAATTGGAGACCTCATGCACCTTCAAGAACTTAACCTGAATGACAATCACTTGGAGTCATTTAGTGTGGCCTTGTGTCAGTCTACACTCCAAAAGTCACTTCGGAATTTGGATCTCAGCAAAAACAAAATCAAGGCACTCCCTGTGCAGTTTTGCCAGCTGCGAGAACTTACAGATTTAAAACTTGATGATAATGAATTGATTCAGTTTCCTTTCAAGATAGGACAACTAGCAAACCTTCGTTTTTTGTCAGCAGCTAGAAATAAGCTTTCATTTTTGCCATGTGAATTTAAAAACCTATCCCTTGAGTATTTGGATCTTTTTGGAAATACTTTTGAACAGCCAAAGGTCTTTCCAGTTATAAAACTGCAAGTGCCATTAAGTTTATTGGAATCTTCTGCACGAGCCATACTATATAATAGGTAAGACTTTCATAATAATTAAATTTGGATCTTTGGTAACATTCTAATATTCTTATCATTCAGAATAATAGTCAAAGTCTAGCATAGCTTCAAGTGCTGTGTACAACCTGACCCCTTGCTATGATGGCCTTTTTGTTGTTCCTTACCTCTGCTTGGAATGGTTTTTAGGAAATTCTCCTACTCTCTCCCTCACTTCATTGAGTTTTCTGTCTAAGTACCATTCCAGAAAGTTCTTATCTGTCCACCTTATCAAAAGTTGTATTCTTCACTTCCTTCCTCCCTACATGGCTTGGTTTTTTGGTTGTTGTTGTTTCGAGGGTGTCATAATATTTATTACCTGACACTATATATTTTTTTTAACATTTGTTTCTTTGTTGTCAGATTTTCTAATAAGCATGTAAGATCTATGAGGGCATGAATTTTTCTTTCTTTTTTTTTTTTTGTATCAGAGATTGAACCCAGGAGCACTTAACCACTGAGCCACATCCCCAGCCCTTTTTTGTATTTTATTTAAAGACAGGGTCTCCCTGAGTTGTGTAGGGCCTCACTAAATTGCTGAGGCTGGCTTGAACTTGCGATCCTCCTGTCTTAGCCTCCCAAACCACTGGAATTACAGGTGTATACCATCTGAATTTTGTTTTATTCTCCATTATTTCTTTAGGGTCTAAAACATGGGATGCTCTGCTTCTGGCACATAGTAGGCCCTTCATAAATAGAATGAATGTCATTGTTACTCAAAGTGTGGTCCCCTGAGCAAAAGCAGCAGCAGCAGCATCACCTACCAACTTGTTAATTAGGCAAGTTCTTAGACTATGCCCCAGACATACTAGGATCTGCCTGTGTTTTATTGAGTCCTCCAGGTGATTTTGATGCACCCTTAAATTTGAAAACTCCAATCTGGCATAATGGTAAAGTATGTAGTCTTTAGAGTTAGATTTGGGTTTGATTCCTGGCTTTACCCTTTTGTTTGACTTTAGCAAGTTAAACCTCTTGATTAAATTTTCCCATCTGTGAAATAGAAATAATAATATCAACTTTACAGAGTTGTGAAAATAAATGAGCAAATGCAATGCCAAAGCATTTGGCATAATAGAACAAATCGGTAGCTGTTGGTTCTCTTCCTCTTGTCTTTGAACACTAACTGCAGCTCGTTTCATGAGACTCTAAACTCCAGTTGTTCATTTTGCTCATGCTTTTTTTTTTAATATTTATTTTTTAGTTATAGGTGGACACATATTTGTATGTGGTACTGGGGATCAAACCCAGTGCCTCACGCATGGTAGGCGAACGCTCTACCTCTGAACCACAGCCCCAACCCTCATACTTCTTTCATATAGGTATGGAAATTAAGATGATAATCAAAATATTTTTGAATGCCTGTAAAATGGTAGGATGATCATATTTCTCCTTATTAACGGTTCAGGGAATCTTTTAAAAATTGACCAAAGTTAAGAATTGAGAAAAATACACAAATGAGTAAACAGAATTTTTGCATACTTTATTATTCTTACAGACTCCACTAAAATCCATTTCACTACCCTTCCATTGCCGTCTCCATCATTAAGAACTATTATTTCCGGACTGGGGTTGTGGCTCAGAGGTAACTTACCTGGCATGTGTGAGGCACTGGGTTCGATTCTCAGCACCACATACAAATAAGTATCAACAACTAAAAAATATTAAAAAAAAAAAAAAAAGGAAGAAGAACTATTATTACAAAGCAGTGGTTTTCAAACTTTACTTTGCACTGAGGATCTTTTAAAACTTCAGATAATCAGTCGCCACTCTATAGATGAATTAAATCAGATATCTGAATTTTTCTTTTATGCTGGGGATTGAACCCAGGGGTGCTTGATCACTGAGCTATATCCCCAACCCTTTATTTTTTATTTTGAAACAGGGTTTTGCTAAGTTGCTCAGGCTTACCTCAAACTTGCCATCCTCTTGCCTCAGTCTCTCAAGTATCTGGGATCACAGGTGTGCACCACTGCATCTGGCAAGAAATTCTTAATTATAGCTAGCTATACATTGGAATCTCCTGGGTCCTACATTCAAACATTCAGGCTGAGACAGGAGGAATTGCAAATTGAGGCTGGGCAACAGCATGATCATGTCTCCAAATAAAAATAAAAAGGACTGAGGATGTAGCTAACTGGTAGAATGCTTGCCTAGCAAGGCCCTTGAGAGAGAGAGAGAGAGAGAGAGAGAGAGGTATATGTATATATACACACATATATGTATTTACATATATAAGTAAATTATACATAGGTGTGTGTGATAGTGCTATTAAGTGGTCATGCTCAAAGATACTTTCATAGTTAATTAGTATATTTGTCCACACTTTTCAGGAAATTACAATATACTGATTGTAATTTTATTTTTCCATCATTATAATTCAGTGTACAAATAATTTTTTTCTAATATGAAAGTCTGAAATCTAGTTATCATAAAATATGTCTTTAACATTGTTTTTTCCAATAGGATTCCATATGGCTCTCATATCATTCCTTACCATCTTTGCCAAGATTTGGATGCTGCAAAAACCTGTGTTTGTGGAAGATATTGTCTGAACTGTTACATTCAAGGAACTACTACCATGAATCTCCACTCTGTTGCTCACACTGTGGTCTTAGTAGATAATATGGGTGGTACAGAAGCACCTGTTACCTCTTACTTTTGTTCTCTAACCTGCTATGTAAATTCCTCTGATGTGTTAAAGTAATAGGTGATGCCACAAAAAGAAATTTTATTTAGTTATAAATAAGCTTGGGATTCCTTTGTGACTTATGATTTTGCAGTGCCAAATTGGAAAAAGGGAAGCCTTTATTTATTTATTTTTTCCCCCACTGGGGATTGAACCCGAGGGCACTTAATCACTGAGCCACATCCCCAGCCTTTTTTTATATTTTATTTAGAGACAGGGTTGCTTAAAGCCTTGCTAGTTTGCTAAGGCTAGCTTTTAACTCATGGTCCTGCCTCAGCCTCCCAAGCTGCTGGGATTACAGGGTGTAGCACCGTGCTAGGTTCAAGGGAAGCCTTTTATATATACTTACTCGGGGAAAAGAATGTGTGTTATGCCAACATTTCTAGTCACTTGACCTTAAAACTTTAATTTCATTAAAACTGATCTTAATATTATTGTGGGGTTAACTTTTTATTCATTTATTGCAGTATTGATTTCACCATAAAGTTTCCAGATTTGTACAGTTGGGTTTTAATGTTAAATAGATACTAATCCCAATCATTCTAAGAATGTTCATGTCACCTTTCTTCTTGAATATCAATTAAGGGAGTATTATTATACATAAAATACACTTTGGAGGACTAATTCCAAAACTTATTATTAAACTTTGCACATATTAAGTGTCCCTAATCCCAAGAGTGCTCCAAAATCTAAAAGTTTTTGAGCACTGACATTCCACAAGTGGAAAATCACACCTGACCTCAAAACAGGTTGCAGTCAAAATGCAGGTCACCCCATTGTTGGTGAGACTACAGACTAGTACAACCACTGTGGAAAGCAGTATGGAGATTCCTCAAAAAACTGCAAATGGAACCACCATATGACCTGGCTACCCCACTCCTTAGTATTATTCCAAAAGAACTAGAAGCATACTATAGCAATACATCCCCCCCCCCAATTGTATAAAGCAGCACAATTCACAGTAGCCAAATTATGTAATCAATTGAGAAGCCCATCAATAGATAAATGGATTAAGAAATTGTGATATATATATATATACACACACACAATGGTTTTACCTAGCCATAAAGGAGAATGAAATGGCATTTGGTAAATGGGCAGAAATTATTCAGCCTCGGGAAATCAAGGGTCAAATGTTTTCTTGTCATGTAGAAGCTTGAGCAAAGTAAAGGAAGAAGGAGGGGAGTATCAGAAATCATACAGAGATCAGTAGAATAGAAAAAGGAGAGGAAAAGGGGGAGGGGAGTGATAGGAAAGGGGAGGAAATGGGGAGTGAATTTTTAAAAATCATGCTATGTGCATATATAAATGTATACTAGGAATTTCACATTTATCAGAAAGAACCAATAAAAAATGAATAGATGAGCAAAAGGAAGATCATTAGATTAAAGGAAGGAGAATGGGGGTAAGGAGAAGAGTAGGGCAAAGGTGGGGAATGTGAACTGAAATGGAATTCCATGTATTATGAACCCAACTACTATGTTTAACTATAATGTTCTAATAAAAATGAAAGTATGCTAAAATAATGTATGAAATTACCTCCAGGCTGTGTATAAAGTGTAAGCATATATATGTAATGTCTCCTTATGTAGAAAACAAATGAATTGTGTTTAGTCTTGGGCCTATCCCCAAAATATCTAATTTTGTATACACAAATATTTTTAAATCCTGGGGAAAAAAATCAAAATCCAAAGCTCTTCTGGTCCCAAGCATTTTAGATAAGAGATACTCAGTTTAAAGTTGTTAAGCACTTCATTTTTGGTGTTTTTTACATATATTATTCTATATACTGAATTATATTCACCAAGCATTAAGTAGGAATAGAATAAAGCTTTTACAAGTTTTAGAATGTCCTTCACATAATCTTTGTTTAATTTGTAGTTTTTTTACCTTTAGGGTTGAGTGAGGTAGCAGAAATTTGCCATTTTTACTGATTACATTCTGTACTTAGAATTTTTTTGTCTTTTGACTGTATAGGGTTTTTTTTTTTTTTTTTTATTAAGTTTGTGTAAGTATTTAATTTAAAAAGTGGTGGCAATACACCAGCTAAAGAACAATTTGATCTAGGACAGAGAATGGAAAAGGAATTGACTTAATCCTGGGAAACAGAATCAGTACTAATTCCCATCCTGTTCATTCCCACTGTCCTACTTCAAATCATACTTTCCGCTAGACCATTGCAATAACCTCATAACTGTTTTTAAATTACTGGAAAAAAACCTTCTAGTATTCACATATTATTTGGGCTTGTAGGTAGGTTCCCTCTATTATTGTTCTTATTGCAACATTTTTATTGTTCTTTTTGTCTTGTGTGTGTCCGTGTGTGGTGAATGGGGTGTTTCGAGGGGGCAAAATTTCGACATATGCAGTCAAGGGGAGAAATAAAGAATGTCTATGAGCTTCTGTGCCTTTCAATGCTTTATTCACTCAAGTTAATACAATTTCATTCTATAGATTCTTAATCAAGAAAACGACAATCCTTAGTGCTAAGGCGCTGCAATATACATAATCAATTCATAGCAAACAATGCTAGATTAATTCACAGCAAACAATTCTAGATTAATTCTAAGCACTGCAAAACACACTTAATCATGACAGGCTAATGACAGACATTCCCTCTGCATGCTAATTTCAAAGGTCTTAAACCTTAGGCTTTATGTCCAGCAGATGCACACTCACTTAGACCCGGGAGATCAGCTCCAGAACCAAGGCAGGCTTTTCCTGGCGTGGAGTGGACGACAGGTTGTGGCGGGGACGGGTCATAGGGAGGAGTTTCAGCTCTCACCAGGGTCCAGAGGAGGTTTTGAGAATGGTGAGGATCAAGCAGAGGCTCAGGAAACAATGACAAGTGATGGAATGTCAGGTCCTCATCAGGCTTTCCAGCTCAAGTGCATCCTTGTTTCAGCTGGCTGAATCCCTGTTCATTAGCTCTATTATTTATACTAAATTTTGGGGCTTTTGACCTCCATTTCAGTCCTTACCAACTACCACCAGATTTCTCCATGACATCATTTACACTGGGGTCAGAAACATTAGGTCTGGTGATCTCCACCCTGATCTTTTTGCCTTTCCCTCTTACCAGGTGATGACAGCCTGCCAGGGGTTTATCAGTGTGAGGGGAAGTAACTTGTTTGAGGCCTTACTGGAGGGCTCTGTGGGTGTGTGTCCCTGGTGAGACTGCAGGTTTCAAACTGGAGTTTTTAAAATGGAGTTGCTTAGGCTCAGGCCTAAGGCCATACTCACATGGGGATTTAACCCAGGGATGTCACTGAGCTCTACCCCCACCTTTTTTACTTTTATTTTGAAGCAGGGTCTTGCATAATTGTTCAGGCTGGCCTCAAACTTGCCATCCTCCTGCTTTAGTCAGTGGATTTACAGGCATGTAGTACCACACTTATATCTAGAAGACTCTTTGAGAATTACTCCTTCATTTTCCTAAAATGTTTCTCACTTTGGGGTTTTTTCCCCCCTTTAAAATCCAATATTCATGAGTGATTCTATTTCAAATGTTAATTTATTTAATTTTTTTTTAGGTACAAGGGGCACTACACCTCTGAGCTACATCCCCAGTCCTTTTTATTTTTTGAGACAAGAGTCTCACTGTTTCTGAGGCTGGTCTTGAACTTGCAATACTCCTGCCCCAGCTTCCCAAGTCACTTGGAGTACAGACATGCACTACTGCACCTGGCTGTTAGGACACTTTCTTATTAAAAACTTTATTCAGATGTGACCATTAAAACAGTGTCTTCTCAGAGCTGACTCTGAGACCAGATACTGGTTGAGGAATAATTGAATGAAAATGTAAGTTTGTGCCAGGTGCAGTGGCACACAACTGTAATCTCAGCCTCTTGGGAGGCAGAGCCAGAATCACAAGTTCAAAGCCGGCCTCAGCAACTGTGAGGCACCAAGCAACTCGGTGAGACCCTCTCTCTAAATAAAATTCAAAATAGGGCTGGGGATGTGGCTCAGTGGTCGAGTGCCCTGGAGTTCAATCACCAGTACTAAATAAATAAATAAAAGTAAGTTTGTATTGCTAGTGGCAATTTGAATTCTAGCAGAAAAACTTTACTTTTTATTATGAATTCACCCAACATATACAACATCCTCTTTTACATTGTGTTACCATGTCAAACTGCATTCTGAAAACATTAAATGGAAAATATCAGAAATAATTTTCATTAAGTTTTAAATTGCAAGCAACTCTGATTAGCAATGGTGAAATTTTATACCCAAGACTGGACTCATGCTTTGTCCAGTGTATCCACAGTGTATAATTCCTATTATTCTTAGTCATCTGTTATATCATACAACTGTCACAATGCTTATGTCCAAATAACCCTTATTTTCTCAATGGCCCCTAAGTGCCAGAGAAAATCTTGGCAATTTTATTACAGTGTTAATTGATAAGAGGACAGGAGGTTAAGGGAATAATTCTATAAAATGGGCCCACTGTGCTGACTCCCACATGCTTTCTTTTCCAAGGAATGATTTACCTGCAGCCCTACCTGGCTTTAAGTGGTCAGGATATATCATATTCGTTAGCAAAGTTACCTGTTACCTGCAGTATGTCATATACTGCAGAAATGCGGGCCCAAAATAATGTCCGTAAGAGTAATTCAAGCTACCCTGAAGGGGGAGATTATGTGACCCTTTTCATAGGCCAGATCCTGAAACTCAGGAAGAATTCCTCTATCTGTAATGATCTATAATTAAGAATTTATATAAGTCAGCATGGGCCAAAGTGTAGTTTCATGGCAATGGGGGGGAGGGGGACTTGAAAATCTGATATCATCCTAATGCCTGTCAAAAGTGATGAGGTGGACCTGGTTAGGACTCTTATGGAAATTTCTCTGGGGTCCCCAATAAAACTGGAGTATAGGAGGGCTGGTGTTGTAGCTCAGTTGGTATAGCATGTCTTGCATGTGTGAGGTACTGGGTTTAATCCTCAGCACCACATAAAAACAAAGGTATTGTGTTTGTTTTAAACTTAGAACTGTAGTATAGAAGCACACTGTCCCTTTCCTCTGAAATCCCACTTTCTCCCTTGAGTGTATCCCTTCTAATAAATTCTTCCTGTTACTCTGAGCAATACATCTGAAATCTGACTTTGTCATGAGCATCAGGGTTCTAAGGGAGTTCTTTTTTTTTTTTTTAAAGTGAGAGAGAGAGAGAGAGA